TCTTATCAAACACACTCAATCTGAGAGATCCGTCTGCTCGTGTCTGCAGTTTCGCACCTAAGAAGGTGCACGAGCCATCTGCCGCAGTGGTCTCCTTCCATTCAAGACCATAATGGGCTGATGATGGTGGCAGACAATCAAAGGTAAGAMMATCATCAATGAACCGATATGYAAAAGCATATCGGCGAGCAGCAGAGGGATCCACACGCTGCAGGTTGTCCACGTACTGCGCCTCATCCCAATMGAGTGTAAGATTGGCAATCTCAGGACCAGCGTTYGTACCCRTAGGGATACCGACATCTTGATGACGAACAAGGCCATCCGCTGTATGCAAATATGTATTTGTAACAATAAACCGAAGATGTTGAAGAATGTCAGAAACAGAAAGAGTGTCAGGTCCCGTATCCGTAGTCCATTCCCCTGCACGGGGTCCACGGACCAGCATACGAAGAGCAACACCCGATGAGCGTGTCTGTGTATGTTGCCCTACCTGTGCAAGAGCGGGCATGCGCCTCATCAACGACATTAGCAACATTGTCAAGAATTCGTTGATGAGAAAGATTAGTATACATAGTAGTGAAATCAACTGTATGCGGGGCCAGACCTCTAAGAGAAGCTTTATTCTTTTTGAGGTCAAGCATGACCTTGTCACTGCTCTGAACAATCCAACATCGTCGAATAACTTCGGTTCGAAAGAGTTGATTATCTTTTTCGCGAAGAGTACGGATGACGCCTTGAAGTGCTGTACTCAAACGAGCCGAAGTAGGCATTGTACTAGCTACCGGCTTGTGAGGCGGTCGGTGATGCAAACGCTGGACTCGTTGGGAAGGGTGCAGGTCACTTCGCCGGGCCGTATGGGAAGAGGAAGAAGAAAGATTGTTTCGGACAGTGATACCAAGAATAGGACGGAGTGTGGGAGGAGATTTATGGGCCTTAAGAACACAATAGAGATACGGCAATGTGTCAGCATGAGGATAATTCCAATGATTGTTCCAAACTGCATGGCTATTCAGAATGTCAGCCACTGATTCAGCAGGCCGAGAATACGTAGGACTGTCAAGGTGGCTTGACAGTTTGAATTTGTACCAATTTTTACAGCAAATAGCCAAATTATGTGATGTTTTGTCCACAGGAACAATCGCAAAGGATTCTTGAAGCTGACGCAGGGCCGTATGCGCGTGCCGCAAAGAGCGAGGCTGTCGCAATGGTGATGCTGTAGTCATGTTGCACTCACAGTGACGCAAGACTGCAGCACGCCAATTAGCCAATTGTGGGGCTAGGGTAGCAGCACAGGATTGTCGTGCTGTTGGACGAAGATACGCATCAATATACTCATCAATACCAACAGCCAATGCTTCAAGTATATCTCCCACTACCCCATTCAGCTGATATTTTGAGCCCTCATAGAACAGGCGACGAAGGTTAGCATCCGGAATCAGATCATAGTTGGCGGAAACAACATGGCCGTCAACCAGATCGGTGCAGTTAGGAAACGCCCGACGACAAGGGCAATCAGCAGCAGCAGGTAGGCACAGGTCCAGAGTGACACTCAAGGCCACTTCCGTAAAATTACAGAATTGTACCCTTGTTGGGGGCACGAGTTTGTCACAGATGCGAATGCTGCTAGCTGCCTGGGGGTCGGGGTGTAATGCACACACATCCGGAGAATGCAACACATGGCGCAACTTAGTAGCCTTCAGGATCTCATGCATATGCACAATTCTGATGAAGTTTCCGAAGGTGTCACGGGAATGAGCAATATATCGTTGTCGGACGTGTTGAAATCGCCGAATAAGGCATTCAAGTTCACGGACGTCCGCAGTCATGTCTGCATTAGAAACATTTATATACAGCCATTGCAGCAGGCGAGCTCGCCAAGCGGGCGTAGCCTGCTGAATGGAAGCAACAACTTCGGACCAAGAACCCGCTGCGCCTAATGTCAATAACCGCCGTAACGTTGTTCGTACTKCTAGTTGAGGGCCCGGGCTAATATCAATGGTGAAGGCCCGAGAGGAGACGCCAGTTGGAGACSGGTGAGGAGAAACGGCACAATGATGAGAAGCAGCAGAGGAAGGACCAACTTGCCGCCAGGGATCGGGGCGTGGCTGTCGTCGAGGAGGCGGTAATCGAGACATGGGCAAAACTGCATTGAAGCCCGAAGGGTGCAAGGTTCGCAGCCGTCGGACCCAGAAACCCTCTCTAGGTGACGCCGCCCGCCAAAAGAGGGCATGATCAATCTCACTGCGATCAGTAATGTAGAGCGCACGATCAATACATTCAAGTGGCCAAACAGCAAAATTGAAGGGAGACTGTTGTCGCATGACGTGATAGAGGTGCCGATGACGATAATCAACAGCAGCATGTCGCACATRCCAGTGCTCCTTCAAACGTTGATGAGCAGTATGGATTGTCTGGCCAACATAGAGACGCCCAGAGGGTATATGCACAACAGCATAAACAACTCCAGTAACAGAAAGCGGATCATTGCCTGGCTGGAGCAGCTGCTGGTC